ACTTCAACTCCCAGAATTCTCCAGCTGGGAGTTGAAGTCCACAAGTCTTAAAGTTGCCAAGTTTGGGAACCACTGTACTACACTAATGAAACAGCATAATGAAATAAGAGAGTGTGGCAGGCCAAAGATCCTAAAAGGGATATAACTGCAGGCCTGACACATTGCCTTTTTCCTGGTGCTGAGGGTGGCCTAACTAACTGCGCCTAAGACAGGACTAAAATTCACAGTCTCCAGGTTTCTAGCCCAATGCCTTAACCACCATACTAGACTGTCCCTCAGGGCCCAACTATCATTACAATTGGTAATTCTTTAGGCAATCTTCCAAGGTGGGGAGTTATTGTTTTGGATTGTTTTTATAGTGGGTTTTTATTTTTGTAACCACCTGGAGTCACCAAGAGTGAGTTGGGCAGCCATATAATTATAAGTAAATAAATAAATAGCATTCTCAAGTTCAAAACATTGAAGTACAATGGATATGTCCCACTAGCTATTAAGATTGACAAGTGAAAGATTTACCATAGCAGACATGATCACCAACCAAGCAATTTTATGTTCAATGAAATCAATTTGTCAATACGGGGAATCTAGGAATCCAAAAATGATGTCAGTTGTTGAATTTTTTGAAACATGCTGAAAACATTTGTTTATCATTTTTGTATCTGTTCCACTTTTACATACTAAAATAGGTCTCATAGCCATAACTATTGTTACTGTTAGAATACTTAGATCAAGGCTCAGATTTATATTTTTGCCAAGCACCTGATTATGTAAGCACATTCTTTTGGAGCAATTAAGAATAAAGCCACTGAAGAATTCAACCATTCTTCAAAAATGAGCGTATCCAGCCTAGCATTATGGGTTTACAGTAAAGCCTTCTCTTGGTTTTGTTTTAATTTAAAGCCATTGCCAATAACTGCAAACATTTGTCTGAATGTTTGTGCTGTTTGAAACTTATTTTAAATCATACCATCACAATTTAATTAAGGATGAGACATATAGCAAGAACAGCTTTACACAGCAATTTAAAGAAAATATATGGCAATATTTGGAGGAAGATATATTCCATTATTTACACAACCTGAGTTTGTAAAATTTTACATTGAAATATTTATACTTTTTAAAAAGTCCTTACTAGTTTTGTTAGTCTCCTAGTAGTTTACAAAATAAGATTGATTATGTTACTCCTTTCTCTTTTTTATATGTTCTAGTGACCATTTGTAGCTTAGGATTGATTGAACTATGAAGCCCAAAATTTAATTAATTTTCAAAAAGTTGGCCAAGGTCTTTGAGAAAAGTATACTGAGGATTTTTTACAAGATTTTGGGGTTTTTTTAAAAAAAATTTTTTTTA